AAATTATTATATTAGTTTCTTCGATGTATGTAAATAAGCTTTGATATATTTAATAAGCTAAATTACACAAGAGATATTTATAATAGAATGATTTATAATAATTATAATAAAAAGATTTATGATCAAAATTAAGTAAAAACAACTTGCTCATCCGATTTTCCTGGTTATGCTAGATTTCAAAATTTTTCTTATAAAATTTACGATCATTATACTTAAAAAAAAATTAAAATAATAAAAACACTAAAAATATAAACATTATTAATATAAAAATAATAAAAAGAATTTTAAATAAAATTGTAAAAATATATTTTTATATATTTGCATTATTTAATATATTTTTTAAAATGTTTACTTAAAAAAATTTGTTTCATTATCATATGATTTTCCTATAAAAAAAAATATATAATTATTGGAAAATAAAAATATATAACTATTTATAGATCTATATAACATAGATCAATGATCGAATTGTAAATTAATTTTCTTGGAAAAATATTTCAACAAAAATTTAATAACATAAAAGAAAATGAAATGTAATTCAAATAAAATGATTTTTCATTTATGTCATAAAAAGGATGATCGATGATTTTTTTAATCTATTCCGAAATCTAATAATATTATTTTCAAATGTATTTGAAAAAACAAATCGATTTTTTATTTACGATTGATAGTGTACAAAATAAATATTAAGATAAACTGACAATCTACTATATTTTTTTGACAATTTAATAAATTTTATTAAAAAATCTTCATATGAAAAATATATGGAATATATATAATTTAAATTATAATTATCCAAAATAATTTCTATAAGATTTTTTAAAATGATCAATTTGAAGAACAAATTTGATAACCTCAAAATTGAAAACATCTCAAATATTGATGATAATATTTTGTTAATTAAAGAAATATTGCAAGTTTTCTTTCATATAAATTAATAATAATACAAATATATGATTTAAAGTAAGAAACTTTGCATTATTCGTGCAATTGTAAATGACGATAATGCAAATATATGTCTATATTGCAAGCAGCGTCGTTCTGAGTAATCTTGATTATCTCGTGAGCTTGTTGTACATTTAACAGTCAGTAGTCAGCATGCAGTCATCCAACTATTATGTCATTCAGATTCTACAAGAATAGATATATATTAGAGGTTCTCAAATCAGTATCATTCAGTAAAAATCATACAATGAATTTTAATTTTAAATTTTGAATTAGAAATTTCTTTTACTCATTTTTGTGCATATTAAAGAAAATAATTTTAATATAATGTAAAACATAGTTTGCTAGAATAAAAATAGAATATAACATTTATATATATAAATATGTAAATATATGAAAAATTTTTATACTTTTGTATTATACAAATTGTATATTATATAATTTTTTTTTATAATATACTCTGTAATATATATATTATGAAACTATATGCAATATATATTTATGTAATTTATTTTCTTTAGATAAAATTATTTAATTTTTTATTTTTATAAATGATTTTATAAAAAATAATAAATTGATGTATTAAAGTATCATTTCATGCTAATCGCATCAAAATAAAATATATAATTCATCTATCATGAATTGGAAACAAATCGTTGTGTAAAAAAGATTATAAAAATTACTTCTACTTTTCATTGCAATGATTGGACCATTATTCGAGATTGCGAAATATAAAATTCGTACGATGTAATACGGGATATTTAGCACTTTTCTAACTTGTAGTGATCAATTTTAAGTGTTAATATAAAATAAAATAATCTGTAAATAATATCGAAAAAAAAATATATATTAATTTTTAAATATAAATTATCATAATATTATTATAATACTAAAATAATCTATAAAATTATATTATAATAACTGTAAAGTTATTAAATGATTTTTAAAAAATTTAAGGAATTACTATAATATTTCATAGAATTATGATTGATCAAAATAAATCAATATATTTACATTATTTAATATATTTAACAACAAATATATAAAATATATATTATAATATATATATATATATTATATATTAAATATATTAAATATATATTTATTTATTATCAAAATAAATTGATCAATATATCATATATTAAACTTTGTAGTTTAAGATATGATTTTCCTTATATATTGAATATCACATTGAATAAAAAAAGAATAAATACTAATATCATGATAGATTAATAATGTGGCGCCATAAAAATATTTGTATACTCTTATGAATATATAAAAATTATATTAATTCATATAAAAAAAAATGCAATGATTTAATAGCACAGTATGTCGAAAATGATGTCACAAAGCATTAAATGAATTATGATTTGTTGTCAGTAACAGTGTGGTATGCGTGAATTTTTTGGTAATGTGGCGCCACTAAGGAATGCAGAACTATTAGCTCTGAAACAATATTAGGATTGATTAATGAATGTCGCAATATAGTTAAAAATAATTGAGAATTGGTGTTTTTTTTTTATGTTTTATATATATACATCTTTTTGATATAGTGCGTTGTTTTAAAATTTAAAAGAGTAAATTGAATTTATCATACATATTAATGTACTAGTATATTGGAATCTGCAAATTCATCATTAGAATATAATTTCATTTTTTTATAAAGATTTCTTTTTTGATTCCTGAAGTTGCTTATTGTTGCAGATATTTATATTACATTATTGTGAAATAAAATTACTTTATATACAAAATAATTTATCTATCTTTATTTTATATATAAGAAAAATTAAATTTTTCTAAATTTTATTGGATTATTAATTTTTTATTTATGATTATTTAAATTTTTTCTACATATATAAGTACATGTATAATGTAAAATATCTTGTGCTCTAATATGTGATAATTTATTGAATCAATTAATATCAATTTAATTATTTCTACATTAATTACATAGTTATTTTTTTCCACTTTATAAATAATTATTTTTCATTGATTAATTAAAATTAAATATTTTTAATATTTTATTTTTTAAATATTAATATTAAAACTTTAATATTAAAATAGTATTACTATAATAAATTAATATATGAATATATTCTTTAGAATAATAATTTTGATTATATTTTTAGCAAAATGTGAATTATATTGGATAATATTAAATTATTATATATAATTATTATATATAAGTATGAATTGGAAATGAAACAAATTTTTTCATTCCATTTTTTTTTATCAAAAAGATTCATTTTTTTTATCGTCGTATTAATTATAGGACAAGATTAAATATCAAATTATCCTATCAAGTGGTTTTACATATGAATGTAATAAATTTCAGTTAATCTTCGAATTCCGAAGACACGTAACAGTACATCTGATCACGTGTACAAATCTACCTACGTAAATCTTATCTGAATTTAGGAAATTCCATGTATTCCATATATGTGTTATAATCTGAGATTTTAAAAACCAACAGTATTCTATTTGAATAAAAAATATTGCATAAAAACTATATATCTTTTTATATTTTCATTTTAAAACATTAAATACAAAATGAAAAGAATTTTATAAAATTTATATAAATTTACAAATAATTGCAAACAATTTTTTATATTATATGAATAAAATAAATCAATGATTTTTATTTTTATTATCTTTCTATTTTAAGATTTTTATATATATATGTATTATCAAGTGCATGCTGTTTGAGTATATTTGCGAAATTGTGCATAAAATCAAATTAAAATTATTATTAGATTATTATTGTTATTATTATTATTATATTATATAGATTATTTATTATTATATATAATATATATATTTTACATTAATATAATATATTTTATTATACTATAATATAATATAATATATTTTTACTATAATTATATTACTATTTTCAGAAACAAATTACTAAAAAATAATTAAGTTTAACAACAACAAATTGCTAAAAAAAAAAATTTATTCTGTAACATATTCTGTTTAAAAATTGTAAATTATATAAATATATTTAAATTATATGAAATTATATGAAATTATATAAAAATTATAAATTATAAAAATTAAATGAAATTATATGAAATTTGTTATTAAGAAATAATTATAATTCTACAAATATATGAAATAAGAAATATAAAAAGAAAACAAAGCTAAAATACAAAGCATATAATTGATTGATATATTTTTTAAAAATGGAAAATACCTATATGTAGATGATGTAAATTGGAAAATATCTTCATATAAAACATAATTTAAATATAATTTAAAATTAGTTTAATGGAGTTTCAAAAATGAAAAAACTTCTTAATTTTCAAGATATTCATTCACTGACGTCAATATAGAAATATTGACGAGTCATAAAAAATTAAAATGACGCTGTTTAATTGGATAATGATTCGGCTTTATAGATGTGTAATTAGAAATTCAAATATCTATTTTCTAATGTATGTAAAATTTCATGTCGCTACATTTTTTCTTTGTCATATACTAAAATACTAAAAAAAAATTATATACTTTCTCAATCATAATGCTATATATATGATTCTTCCTATTTTTCGCATTATTTTTTTGATTAATATTAATTATATTATATTATTAATATTAATAATATTATTATATTAATTTATTATATTTAATTTATAATTTAACATATTTAATTATATTTAATTTATTAATTTATTATATTTAAGGGGAATCAAATAAGTATGTATGTCACTTCTACCATATTTTTTACACTTTACACTTTTACCAATTTTACCATAAATAAATCATAAATAATTAACAAATGTTAACGAATATATGTCATGCACCTAAAGAAATTTATTACCATAGCTACTTTACAATTCTAGAATTCCAATATCTTGTCTAATAATATAAAAAATAAAATAGAAATCTTTAATAAAATTGAAAAAAATTATGGAAATTATCAATGGAAATTTTTTGGAATGGAATAACATAATTAAATTATATATATATATATATGTAGGAATATATTTTTAAATATAAAAATATATTTGACAATTTAAATACAATTTTAGCGAATTTTATATTTTTATATTCTTTTTATATTCTTACAAAAGATTAACATATGTAGCTAACATTAATAAATGATTAAATATCAACAAATTAAAAATATATACTTTTACATGTATAAATGTACAGAATTTTTCTTACACAATTATGTAGATCTTCATTTTTATAATTAAATTTTTATTTATAAATTCATATTTATCAAATAATATTTTAATAATATTAATTTTTTTTTAACGGCGCCCATAGGCATGATGTGATTGATGCGCTATAAAATGAAAATGAATATAAAATATGAATTTAAAAGAAAAAATAAAAATATATGTAAAATATATATAAAAATAATTCTAATAAACTTACGTTTATAAAATTCAGAAAAGTTTACATTAGGTAAGAGAGAATGGATTTTATTTAAAATTGTAGCTTTTGATGCTAAAGTAGCATTTGTATTCCATATCTAAAAAAAAAAGAATAAAAAGAAAAATGAAGGAAAATTTTGTAATATAGTTTATATCTCTATATCAATTAATAATATTTTTTTTTAATTTATAATGGTTACTTGAACAAGGTCTTCTCTGTCTCTAATAGACACAGTTATTCCACAAACTTCATCTCCTTCTGCAACACATTCCGCAAATTGTTCTCCAATAGCTGCAAGCACCATTTCTTTCCATATTTTTTCCTATATCATAAATTTATATATTTTTTTTAAATTTTAATATATATAACATAAAAATATTATATATAATAAGAAATTTTATATATAATATAAAAAAATTATATATTTACAGTATCAGATTTATGGCACTTTAGTCTCCATGTTCCACCATTTTGATTGATAGGTTCTTCCCATAATGGATATCTTTCGTCTCTCATTAAATGATAACTATATCTGACCTGGCATAAAAATAATTTATATATGTTTGTATATTTATGTTAATGATAAAAAATATATTAAAAAATATACTTACTTGTATAGCATTAACACTTGGTATATTGTTGAAAACAGCCCAAAAACTTTGTACAGTGTTCACAGTATAAATCTTCGTTAAATTTTCTTTATATTCTTCAACAGTTGTGCCAGAAATAGCTCTGTCAATTTTACCAACTCTTTAGAACTTTCTATATACACTATGAAAGAATGATTCAATTTTTTCAGGATTACATTTCATCAAATTTCTTTTTATAAAACAACAAAAAGACAAAAAATATTATTTTAAAATATATATTAAATAAAATAAAAATATAAGATTTAAATAAGATTATATTTTGTGTATACATGTATATATATATATATATTATATAATTAATATAATATAATTAATATAATTAAAAATAATAATTTTCTTATTTGAGAATTTCAAAAAACATATCTTAATGTCTAAATTATTATTACAATATAATTAACTAGAAACATAACCAGAAAATTACATTTTTACATTATTAAGTATTTAAAATTATTCTAAAGTAATCTTTAAAAGAACAATATAAAATACAATTATACAACAATAGAATAATTAGAAAATAACAGTTTTCAATTTTTAATTTCATCAAAATTTTTATATTTATTTTTATATTGATATGACATTCATTCCTATCGTTATAAATAAACGATATTGATATTTAATGATATTATTTTATTCTTTTAAAAACTTTTCATAATGTTAATAATTTCATGATATTAAAAAAAAATATCGCTAATATATTTCGTGATTTAACGAAAGAATGAAAGTAAAAAAAATATTAATTTACTATAGATACAATTTTAAAAATATCAATCTTCTTACTTGTCTAACCAAAATGTCCAAGATGATTGTAAAGGTATTCCTGATGTTTCATGTTCTTCGATCGTTTTAACTGTTTCATTCGAAAATACAAGTGTTTCCGATAAATTAGTTGCATTGTCGTCTTTTGATTCACAATCCACCGCAGCCATGTTCAAAATAACAACATGTACGTGTATGTATATGTTATAACGTCAAAAATCATGTGATGATATAAAGCAATAAAACAAATGATTTCTGATTGAAAAGATATATAAAATATATAAGATAATATAAAGATATAGATAATCTTAATATAGATAATTTATAATATAATATGAATAATTCACTATTGAAAATTTTAAAAATTAAGGTATAAATAATAATAGTAATTAATTTAATTAAAAAAAATTACTTAAAAAATTATTCTAAAATATAGTTTTAAAGTATAATATTTTATTATTATATTATATATAAATTATAATATAATATTAAAATGTTAGTTATATGTTATATTATATATTATATATTATAATTTATATTTATATATTATATATTATATTATTATATATAATATATATTATAATTATATTAAAATATACTATTATTACAATATTATTATAATATAATAAAATATAATTAATTTATAATTAGTAGAATTAATATATATATTAATTTTATAAAAATATATAATTATAATTTTATAATTTTTTTATAATTTTATTATATATATAAATTCATTTTTTTGGAACATATATTTGATAAATTATAAATATAATTGTATTCATAGATAATTTTACAAAATATGGAATTTACAAAAATTGAATTTTTTGACAGTGATTGGAATTAAATTTTAAAATCATAATAAATCATAAAATCATAAATAAAATATATATGATAGAATATATTCTATATATATATATATATATATAATGACAAAATAATATTAATTATTATATTTATCGTTACAACGATTATTATATTTATTGTTATAACAAATTGTCAAAGATATAAAGATTAAATATAAAAGTTTAAAAATTGTTAAATTTTTGATTAATTATATAATTCAAAAATTTTTTCATATAATCTATAAAGATCGTGTATTTTCATCAGACTTCATAATTTTATTTTAAAAATATATATATAGTTTATTAATATTCATATAAGAATATTATATAGGATATTATTAGTATAAAATTATCAATTTTAATAAACAAAAATAATGAATAATATATAGAACTTTCTTCTTTTTTCATTGATTTTAATGATCTTGAGTAATTTTGAACAATTTTTTTTTTTACATAATCAGCATTCAGCTTTATTCATAAAAAATAAATATGTTACATTATGTTATATTAAAAAAAAGTATTAATATCTGATAAAAAAAATGGAAATTACAATCATATTATAGTATATCTAATATCAGAAATATAATTATATTTTATAAGAAATAATATGAAATTAGTTATAAACATGATTATATTTTTCATATTATGATATTTTTCATGATATGATATGATAAAGAATGTGATATAATAAAAAAATGATATGATGAATAATATTTTTATTCAATTTTTAAAATTATAAAATATATAAGTTTAGATTTTTATTTTGTACTTTCTGAGTAATTTAATTTTGTATATGTAGTTAAATTATTGCATGTTAGATGGCGTAAGAAATACTTTTTTTTAAATTGAACATGATACAAAATCCCATAAGATGTCATATCTATTCCGTTTCTCGTTTATGTTTCTATGTAATATAGTAAATGTAGAGGATATTGATATTTCAGAATATGAAACATGAAGATATTCATAAATTCTCATATCTATTCTATATCTTTGATATATTTAACGTGTGATGTCTATTCATTATGTTTAAAATTCTTATTATATCTTATAGTTTTGAAGAGATATTTTTGGCATTCAAAATATATACTAATGATCAGTTCTTTTCTATGTATCCTTTTATTATTTTGCTTTTCTTTATATATATATATATTCATTTAAAGTATTCTAAAGATGGCACTGATTTTTTTTCTATTTCTATCTCTTTTTTTTCTCTTCCATCTCTTACTATTTACTTGTTTATGTTCATAGAGTATATCCAAACGAGAATGTTAATTAAAATTCCATATGATAGTCAACATTTCTCTTTTAAAATTATTATCTCAACATCTTTTTAATATAAAAAATATTAAATTCTCAACTTTATTAATGATCTCACAAAATATAATAGAACATGAATATTTTAATGAAAAGTATCATTAAGCAATTTGACATCGATAGGACATGATAATTAAACAAAAAACGGAAGATTAACCAAAAATGAAGAGAGTATAAAAGAATTTTGAAACATTCTATCAAAAAATAATTTCTATCAAAAATTTATATTGAATTTATTCTTTTATTATTTATAACTTTTATAAAATATTTTAATTATATAATAAAAATAGAAGATGCTATTATCCAACAATTAATGCCATTATCCAAACACTAACTATTAAATACGAAGACTTAATATTATATAATTTTAATAAAAGATTATAAACAAAATATTAATTGATAAATTATTTTCATAATTCAAATTCAGAATGTGTTTTAAAAATATATTTGAAAATAGTCAATAACATTGAAAATAGCATTAAAATAATAAGAAGTAATTCTTTCAAGATATAGAAATCAAAGAAATGTTAGATCTATTTTATATGTCTGATGTCATGTCTATTCTGTAAATTTGATTACATACTAAACATTTTTATATCTTTTGGTTTTTAAATCTCATGTCAAATCGTTAACTTATATAAAATATGTATATTTAAATAGTGCTCCTCTTGTAACAGAAATCTTGAGAATTAAATTTAAACTTTTATTTATTATATACAATTTGAATCTAATGTAAGAATTTTTTAATATTTAAAAATGTCATTTATTCTTATTATAAATTTTATTTATCTATCTAAATTTTTATAAATATTTTAATTTACATATTTTTATAATTTGATTAATTTTCAAACATTTATTTACACATTAATAAATATTATTAATAAATGATTAAATCTTATTTTATTTTAAATCTATTTTTTAAAAAACTTAATTTATATATATTTTGTATATATTTCTTTAATATTTATTTAGTATATACATATATATACTTTTATTTCATATCATATAAACGAGTTGCATTTGAAATTAAATATGTGTATTATTATATCTGAATTAAATAACAAATTGCATAAAATTACAATTCATTTAAAGAACATGTATCAAGTAACAATCTGTAAATCGCGCCGTTTTGTACGCTTGCGTATAGAAAAAAGAGACAGAGAACGAATGATAGACGCTATGCCGCAACAACGTCAAAGTCAGTCTTCTGCGAACTTTCGGGTGTATTGGTTGTTTCGTGAGTAATTCGTATAATATATTTTTATCATACGTTTTTATCATTGTTCATCTCAAATTAAATTTTAGATTTTGACAAACCATTTCTTAACTATTAAGGTAAGAAAATAACGGATTTAAAAATACAAATATATCAATATTCATGTTTAAATGCTACAAACATAGTTGTCCATTATAATATAATATACTATTATATTAATTAGCATTATTTGTTATGAGAAATATAATAATAAGTTATAAGAAAAATTGGCGTGCACACATGAATCTATTGTTCATCTTGAAAATGAAACAAACTATTAGAAATCTGTTTTCTCCTTTTATTTATAGAGATATTTTTTCTTTCTTTTCTTCAACATTTTTCATTTGATTTTTTTTCTGTTCATAAAGCTTAAAATGTTTCTGTCAAAATTTATCAATAATCAAGGTCGGGTTAAATGATAATATTTTTTGAACGATTTTATTTATAGGTTTGATCAATCAATGCGCGCGCGCGCGTGTCGTCGCGTAATTGATGAAATAAACGTATTCACGCTGATGATGTTATTGTCTTGATAAGAATATGTGTTTGTAAAATAATATTGAAAAAATTAATTGTATGATATCACAGATATTTCGTTAATTCTAATAATTTGAAATGTTAAATAAAAAGTGAATATATATAGTCATGTTTAAATCAACTAATATAAAATAGAATCTATTAAAAAGACGTTAGGAATGCATATCAGTCACTTTTATGCATTTCGTCAATTGTATGATTAGTTGCGGCAAAATCATGATTTTCAAATTTAAATCTATTGATATTGATTTTATTTTATAAATTAAATATTACAGAATATTATGTGATAAAAATAAAATAGTAATTTATTATATTTGGTATAACTATTATTATGATTATTAAATATAATTTGATTTTATAAAATATATACTTATTAATAAAATTGAAGTACGAAATTAGTAAAATTTTAAGTTGAGATTAAAATAAAAAAAATTTTTCGATAATTATGTTTATATATAATACCAATTTTTATTAAAAAAAAAAACCATTATCGATATATTATAATTATTATAATATTTAAAGTTAATTTTAGAAATTTTACAATTAATTTTATAAGAAATTTTAATAATTTTTAAAAAATTTTTAATTTTTAAAAAGTTAATAAACTAGATATATGTATAAATTTATATTTAATTTCATTAAAATTTTAAATATAACTTCATAACTTTCGAAAATAAATTTTAAATTGTATCATTTGATAAATTATAATTTTTATAGTCTTTTTACAGTATTTTGCAATTCTTAAGTTTTAAAAATTATTGATATTGTGCAATAATAGATTAATATTTAACGAAATCATTTGAAAATCATTTTTGTTTTTGAAGTTCTCATATTAATCTTATATAATCGTATATTTTATTAACAATCGAGATAGAAAAATTTAAATTATGTGTTATTTCTGTCAATTATATTTCCATATAAACTATTATTATTATTGATGATTTAAATTAGTATGTACTTATCAAAAAATATCAAAAAATTACTTATAATAATTGATAGAAAGATTGATAGAAAGTTTAACATGTATTAATTAATAGCAAAATTTTTACAACTGAACAATAATAATAATTGTAATATTAATTATTTCAAATACATTTTATCAAGAAAATCATGATCATCTTCTTCAATCATTCTTTTTCTTTTTAGTAATTACAATATATGAATTTATAAATTACTTTCTCATTTATTTTAATGATTTTTAAATATGTTGTAGAAATCGACATTTTGAATAATTTTTTCTTTTCAAAAAAATATCGAATTCTTTTAGTTTTTGAAATAAAAAATTGTTGCTATTGTAATTGAATTTCACTTATACGCATCTATGACATGCGATTTCCATTTATCAATTGTTTACATTATCATGGTGGCTAAATACTTAAAATGTATAACAAATAAATATCATTATATTTAGTATTTAGAATTAGCTCGTTTTCTTTCACAGAATGTGAAAATAAAATATGAAACAATTCTTGAGTTGGAAATCGAAATTAAAATGATAGATATTAAGTATGATAATTATATCGCTATCATTGTTAATATCAATTTCGATTATTGAAATTTCAGTCATCCAAAAATTAAATTTTATATTTTATTTTCGAAAGAGAAACTTACTATAAATAAGTGCTACGTAATATTAACCTATTATATTATTATATTATGGAAATCTTATGATGTGTTTATAAAAAACAATTAACAGGTGAAAATTGCGTACTGATCCACATATTGGAGTTATATAGGCAAAATTTAATAATTTATTAATAATAGTTTTTTTGCGAATATCTTAGAAACTAAACAAATTTTTGTGAAAGGAAAAAATCATCGATTTTTACAATATATCAAAAAATTATTAAAATCAGAATGATTAAATTCATTAAATTATATATTATATGTACATATATATATATATAATTTAATGCGTATGTTCGATAAAAAATCATCAGTTATATATTTACGTATATAAATATAAATATAAATATATATAACATATATATAATAAATAGATATACATATTTGTGTATCACATTTATTTTACTTGTGAAAGGAATTAATATTGCGCAGAATACGAAAATTGTAATGAATTCTCTTCTATTATTCAACATTGACAAAGCTACACACGACAAACGAATTGGAATCATTTATTGCAACATGAATTTATAATAAATTGTATATTAATTATCATGAATTTGATAACACATGTGATTAATATTTCACTTGGATTGTTTCTTTCGCGATTTCCAATTTAGTGAAAAATTAGTATATCTGCAAATATATAAATTTACATATGATTTGTATAGACTTTATTCCTAATTGTAATTTTCATAAAGATTACAATTTGTGACTAAAAATTTAGTTTAATTTAAATTAAAAGTTTGTTTAAAATTTTGTTTGAAATTTCTTTAAACAAACAAAAAATTTTATGACATTTGACAATTTTTTAGGAGAGGGTACAAAATTTTTTTGTATGTATATCGTATATTTCATTATATTTATATATAATTATATTTCTTAAAATATGGAATGAAGATATCATTCCACACATACGGTTTTATCTTAATTTGTTTTAAAGATATAAAAGTCTTGCAAGTAAACTCTAATATTAATAATTTATTGAATATAATGATATACTATATCTCTTTCTTGATAAATATTTCAATGCCAGAATTAATAATTAACTCATTAATCATATTGAATTTAATTAATTATTAATTTAAGTATAACAGATATACAAAATATTGAAAATAGGAGAATTATTTTTGATATTATTATTAATTAATGTATATAATTTTATTTAAAATCGAAAAAAGTAGAGATTCTATCGTTATTTTAAACGATATTATATTGAATTTTTTTTCTTTTTTTCTTTTTATTTTTGTTCTTTTACTATAAAAGTTTTGAATTTAATAAAATTTGGCTTACACAATTTGTTCTATTAATTACAAAATTATAAACTTTCAAAGTTAAATTAAATTTTGTGCAGGTTTCTTTTACATGTTCGTTTGCTACCATTGTGAAACTTTCTAAAAATATATGTATGTAGGTGAAATAGGATTTGCTTTCTTCTTCAGAAACAAAGTGAAAGTAATCTTTTTTTTTTTATATTTCATATTTATATTTAATATTATATTTAATTTCATCAATTAATTCTAAATCCATGTGAATTAAAATCCATGTGAATTCGATTGAAATTTATTTGATATCTTAATATGAAAATTTATAATATATGCTTGTATACATTTGATATAATATTCATAATACGATGATGGTAAAATGATGATTATCGTAAGAACTAACAAATATAAATAACAGATGTTGTAATTTTTGAAGGGAAATTGCTAAGATAGTTGCAACATTATTTTGCGTAAGTATCGTTTCGTGGATGAAGTATATTATATATATATATATATATATACATAATATATAATATTAATATTTTTCTTTATGAAATTATATTGAAATCAATTCCTTCTAGAGATTTCAAAATCTTTTCTACTTTTAAAAACAATTACATTATTTGCTTGTTTCAAGTTTTAATTAAAGCGATTCTTTAAATACAGCAATTTCGAAAATTAAAAAAAATCGAACAATCACGTTGGATCAAGTATAATAGTAACATGAATAAAAATTATTATATAAGAAATTACAGAAATTAAATATTTATCATTATGCAATATACCAGAGGAAATTTTATATAAATCAGTCGTAAAATAATAAAGTGAATAATAAAATGTGTTATGCTGTTATTGAATTTTGCATTTATATGCATTATGATGATATACATATTATTATCAATTGTTTATATAAATTGTTTATATATGTTGTTTATACATCATAGCGATTGATACTCAAAATGTATATCATCACTTAATAAGTATTTATCTATAATGAGTTTAGAATCAATAGAAACAAAATATAAAACAATTCTTGAATCGAAAATGCGATAATCGATGTTATAACAATAAATGTTAAATACTGTTAAATACTCTTCAAGAGATTAGGATTAAAATATTTCAAATTTATCACAATAAGAAAATAATTTTTGTCTAGTCCATTCGTATATTATTGTATATAATGACTAATAATAATATATAATGACTATAATCAATCATAATATATGTACATGATACTAAATATAAGTTAGATAGTCACGCATGCTTGTACAGCATAATCATATTTTGTGATGATGATTAATTATATAATGATTTTACAATCCTTTTTATTCATAATATTGAACTCATATAATTCGAACATATATATATATATATATATATAATTCACATTTATTTTCTTTTTTATGAACATGATAATTGTTTAAAATAACGATTTTCTTTGTTAAAATGAAATTATATATAGAAAAATGATAAACTTGATATGAAAAAAAATTTTTCTGACAAAATGACCTAAATAGCTATGCGATAAAATATTACAGATAAATAAACATGGATAGGAATACTTGTACATGCACAAATCAGTATAATACATATGTAGTTCAAGATCATTATGTTTCCATGTATCCATGAATAATCTCTTCACAGTACAATACATA